CACAAAACTATTTGAAAGAGATTTTAATATTTGGACCTTTCCCTAGAATTAGATCATTTCTCGTTTGTCAAAATATTTTTTTTAAATTTCTAAGCATTAAATTTTATAATGTTTCCTTTTTATAAAAATCTATAAGTGCATCTGAATAAACGTCGTGAATTATTTCTGATTCGCTAATGGAAATAGACATATATCTACAGAGCGATATAGCTGGAGAGAAGGAAGCAGAGAGCGCTCAACTAGTGATAGATAGATAGATATAAACAGACCGAGATAGATAGATAGATAGATAGATAGATAGATAGATAGATAGATAGATAGATAGATAGATAGATAGAAAAAGATAAATAGATATGAATATATAAAGACTGCGATATAATATATATATATATATATATATATATATATATATATATATAGATGCAAATAAATTTAGATAAATAGATATTAACAGATTGTGACATAGATAAAAGATGCAAATAAACTTAGGTAGATAGGTAAATAGATATTAACAGACTGTGATATATATATATATATATATATATATATATATATATATATATATATATGTGTGTGTGTGTGTGTGTGTGTGTGTGTGTGTGTGAATAGACTAAGAGATATTATTAGACTGATAGATAGCTAGGTATATAGATGCAAATAAATTTAGATAGATAAATAGGTAGATATTAACAGACTGTGATATATATATATATATATATATATATATATATATATATATATATATATATATATATATATATATATATATATATACGAATAGCCTGTGATAGATAGATAGATAGATAGATAGATAGATAGATAGATAGATATGAGCAGACTAAGATAGATGCGAATAAACTTAGATAGATAGGTAGATATGAGCAGACTAAGATAGATGCGAATAAACTTAGATAGATAGATAGATAGATAGATAGATAGATAGATAGATAGATAGATAGATAGATAATGGGAATAGATATACGAAATACATCCATATCTGAAGAATATTACGTATAGAACTGAACGTTACTAATGAAACACAATCAGACGGATAAACAAACAAAAGAACCCGTTATACAAATGAAGACGAGAATGATTTTTACTTGCAAATTTCGCTTAAAAGAAAAATGAACATTTTAAAAGCAAAACTAAAACCCTTATGAAAAGACAGTGTAGATATATAATTGAAATATGCACAAATATATTGCTGACATTAAGGCTTCTTGTGTCTGCGCGTTACATTGAAATATGTGGGCCCGTTTTCTTGTTTTTTTTTGTTAGCGTTTTGCATTAAACTGCGTTCTTCGAAAGACAAAAGACGTTTCCCTCGCGTCAATCGTCTTCAGCTGTTTTCAGAGCTTACCTTTCACGCATGCGCTGTCGTATATTTCCTTTTCTGTGCATCCGATGTTTTAAAGACTTCATTTCAATTCATTTATTAATTCATATGATCATTGAGAATGAAAGTAAGCGAGATAGGTAGCTAGATTGATCTATTTACTTACCTACTGACGACGTAATTTATCTCATTTCTCTATATTCACACGCTTTCAGCTGTCTTGTCATATATATACATATACACACATATATATATATATATATATATTCTTGCTACTTAAATACACACACACACACACACACATATATATATATATATATATATATATATATTTACTACTTAAATACATATTATTTGTATACACACATATATTTTATGTATTTTCTACTTAAATGCATATTATTTGCATATATATGTGTGTGTGAATATATATATATATATATATATATATATATATATATATATATATATATGTATGTATGTATGTTACGTGTTTTGTAGAAATAGTTCTTTCATTTTCGAAACGATCATTACGGATTAAAAAAGAAAATGGCGGAAATGTTTCTTTGTTCCACATCCGCTCAAAGTGTGTTGAAATCCTATTCGTCTGACATTTTATTTCTCGTGAATTCTTACCACACTCAACAGAACAATTATCCTGATCTAGATTTGATTTCAACCCAATAAATCGATATAGCTGATTTATTTTCTTTTTAGGTTTGCTTTTGTCAATAAAGACTCACATTTCTCATTTTTTTTTCATAATATAAGAAATTATATCTGTGTTGTACATACACGTTTACCTGTAGAATAAAAAAAAGAAGACAACATTATTTAAGTAATTTTGCAATTGCATTACACTTATAAAATATCAAAAACATTATGTCGCTTTGAATTTTCTTGTTTATTTTCAGTATTTTCTGAATATTAAACTAAACAAATAATAAATACCATTAAGTAATTATGGAATTTTGCATCGAACGATTCTGGTTTCCTAGGTACGATGATAAACTATATCCGGCAGCAAGGTCGGGAAATTGGAGATGGAACCATTTCTTAATTCTTGAAAACGTCCCAGGTCCAAACTGACGCAGGGTGGTAAGGTCCCAGATATGGTCAAATAGTTAACCCCCAAACTGGGGCTCAAAATATTAGAAAAAATTTTCAGCAATACATTTTCAATACTGTGGAAAAAGAAAATACCAAAACGAAAAATGAAATAAAATTTCGACATTAGATGACTTTGATTTGAGTCCTGGGTATGACGATAAACAACATCTGGCAGCAAGGTCAGTGATCGGGATATTGGAAGTTTTCAGGAGCGCGAAACCATCCTTTTAACTATTGTTGTTCCAGAGTCCACCGTGATACTGGGTAGTAACACCTGCTCGGGTCCTAGCTACGGGAAAATAGTGAACACCAAAACAAACACAAAACACTGTGAAAGTATAAAAATACATTTTTACATGAAACAAATTATCAACCTTACATAATTGTAGTGTAATTGCCAGCAATACAATTTTAAAGCAACATGTCCAGCAATACATTTTATAATATAATTGCCAACAAAACATTTAATAATAAAAATAGCCAACATTTAATTTTATCTGTAGTCGAAGGTTTGTGTTCAAAATATATTTAGTTGAAGCCATAAAATGGAGTTCAAAATATTCCCATTAAATTTCGGCATTAAATGACCCATAAAGTGTTGATATGCCATTAAACAAACCAACCAATCAATCGTTCAAAACCGACTTCAAGTGGAATCTATCTATCTATCTATCTATCTATCTATATATCTATATATATATATATATATATATATATATATATATATATAAATACTAAATATTTCAGATAGATCGGTGTATGGATCAGTTAAAAAGCATTAAAAACACTTATTTCAATGCAGCCTATATAGGTTTATAGCCTACGGCAGACAAAAACGTACCGCCCTCATAAAGTACCGCCCGAGGTGGACCACCCTCCTCTAGCTACGCCACTGGATACATGTACAAGCTGCAGATTGTCGAAAAAAAAATTCCTTGTTCACAGTAAATCTTAATGTGTACAGTTTCGATGCATTTGGGTTAAACCCTGTCGATTGATTCGTTTTCTACAGCGTGTAATTGTTTAGCGATTCAAGTTTTGGGAGTGTGTGATGGCCAATAGGCAAACGTTATTAAAAACCGCAATGGAGCGTGTAAAAACGAAGAAGATTTAAGGTAAATGAAATGCAAAAAAAAAAAAAAAAACACTTATACTCAGAATAAGAAAGAGACAGTTGAAAATTCTGAGACGTATAAATAGGAAGGAGAGCTCGGAGAATTTGACACTCACAGAAAATATCGATGGCAAAAGGGACAGGGGAGACAATGATGGTAAAAAGACAAAGATTACTAAGAGGTTAGCCATGATGGCCGACATCCTGAAGTGATAAGGCAAGAAGAAGAAAAGAAGAATCATCATCATCATCATCATCATCATTATTATTATCATTATTATTATTATGATCATGATCATCATCATTATGCTTTTCCATTGCCTCGACAAGACCCTTATACTTTCTGGAACACTTAATGAGGAAGGAGATCTTGACGGGACAGATCAAAAGCCAAAGGAACGAGAGGCTAGCTGATCATTAGCTGACGATGTTGTGGGAAGAGATGACGAAATGGCAATGCGACCGATGGCAAAAAGAGAAACATTATTAAGAGCCACAAGGTATAGAAAATTGTGGAGAGCCATGGCCACTCACGTTTTCAAAGAACGCGGCATATAGAAGAAAATATCTAACGATTGTGTATGTTGCATATATCGTTAACCTTCACACATATTTTATTTATGTTAATTCTGTAGGCTTCGATCTTCGAATACAGATAACAGTCTCAAAACGCGAAGTGTTGCTCCTCTGATTGATTGATTTGTTTTTTACGTCTTTTGTAGACTGTAAGAATGGTTTGGAGATAATGAGTTTCTGATACAAGTCCTACTATTTAATCCATAGCTTGGAAAGGAGAAAATGTCAAATTCACATCTTTCCCAAGTTTATTTGCTCGTAAGTGAATATAACAAATGAAACTAACCCTGCTGAGAGGTCATTGAAATGAAACTCGCCACACCGATTAACAATTCCGAGCCATTATCCATTACCATCCGCATATTCAAGCTTACAGTACCTGCTATTCTCTAGCGGTCGGTCGGTCGGCATCCGTCCGTCCGTCTCGGGAGACGATGGAGTAGAGGTGATGCGCTACGAACCTGGGTGGGATGTATGGAGAACTAGGGCTGCCCGGACGTCTAGTTCCCCCTCTCGGCCTTGCTAGTAGAGTCCAAAGGAGAGGATAAACCAATACAGTTTGGTACCAGCGCGGCGGCAGGAGTTGCCGGAAGGTAGCACAAAGTGCCGTCCATCCGCCTCAGGGGCTCCACTCCGGATTTGTGCAGCCTTTTCTTTTCTCGAAGATTTCAACAAGGCAGCTATTTAACCCATAGCTGGGGTTTGGCTCATGGGCACCAGGGCGTGTCCACACACGTGTGTGTGTGTGTGTCCCTAGCGGTTATGCATCTAAATACTAACAAGGCTCGACGTTGCTTAACTTACTGTAACCGGTGTTTCAACTTGACATGGATGTATGCCATACCACCCTCACATCCAACCTTACAGCACCCGGTATTCGCAAGCGGTCACCCCTATAAATACTGACCAGGCTCGACGTTGCTTTACTTCCGTGAATGTAGTGGAACCGGTGTTTCAACGTGATATGGCCAGCACATTCAAGCTTACGAAACCTGGTATTCGCAAGCGGTCACCAATCGAGATACTGATCAGGCGCAACGTTGCTTAACTTCTGTGAACGTACGCGAGCCGGTGTTTCGAAGTGATATGGCCATACGCCATACTATCTGCACGTCCCCAAGCTTACACAAACTGGTATTCGCAAGCGGTCTCCCATCTAGATACTGACCAGTTTCGACGTTGCTTAACTTCCGTGATCTTAGGGGAACAGTTATTTCAACGTGATATGGCTATGATACCAACACATCCAAGCTTACACAACCTGGTAATCGCAAGCGGTCACCCATCTAGATACTGATCAGGCGAAAGGGAACCGATTTTTCAACGTGATATGGCCGTAAGCTATTCAGTTTTAAGAGGCCTAAATTTTTGAAAATTAGGCAGAGGTTTCGTAAAGAGATGGAAGCGATATAACAAAAAAAAAATCAGAGGCATTGAAGCATTTTTTTTTTGTTACCCTTTTTTATTTTTTATTTTTAATTTGTTACGACATTTGAGATAATCAGTCCTGTTTTTAAATAAACCCTAAACGGGCAACACATATAAAGTTAATAGGAAAACGACAGAGTCAATACGGTTTATTTGTTTACTTCTCTTTGACTTCATACCCCGTTAGTTTCTACCCACACCTTAACATAACCTCCCTTCCCCAACCCTCAAATTCGCGCCTATACCAGTTGGCTCTACGGGAGAAATAGTTGGTTTAACATTTTGAAAACAGATGCCACAGAGAAATTTAACCAAAGAAAAGGTCAAATTAGTGTTGGATCATTATGCTTAGATTGGTGAATTCTTTTATTTATTTATTTTTGTATATAAAGGGTGGTTGATGGAGAAAAAAAACGTTACTAGATAAAGCCACAAATAGAGGTGGTAAAAAATGGATTAGGGGTCGGACTTTCTCCTGAATTCAGTCCTGTCAGGTAAGATAATATAAGTAAAAGCTGTCCGACCTTTGAACCCTAGGGTGTGCTGTGTTCTATTCAGGACAGAATTACTCTTTTGACAGCTCTTTTTTGTGTCGTGTAACTCCTTATTCTTTTACGATCTGCCACTGATCCCCATTACCGGTGTGTTTAAATACTCTGCCAAAAGGTTCCATTGAGCCCGCTGGGGTGGGGGGTTAAAGAATATTTTTTTCAGTAGTTAATAACGAGTAACCTTATCGGCTGCCTTGCGGCCATAGCACGTTCAAACATTGGTTCCCTAAGATGGGTGATCACTTGGGAATCTCAGGTGCTGTAAGCTTGGATGCGTGGAGATAATGTAAATGGATAACGGCTCGGAATGAGGAATTGGACAGCCGGGTTCGAATTCCAGCCGGGTTCGTGCAAAAACCATTGGGGTATCGTGAATCGAAAACAGACATGATCGTCCAAGCGTGTCACATCTGTCACTACAAACACGCATCTGGGTAAAGGCTGGACTAACAGCTCGTTTCTTTCTCATGAATCTGAAGAAGGCCTACGACAAATAAAAAGGATCCTCTCACGGATATTAGATCAATAATTCAAGTTGCTACATTCAGAAAAAAATATCCAGCCAATGAGAATATATCAAGAACCGGTTGAGCAACCGATGCAACTTTTAAACAAAGAAACTGGAACTTTAATGATGACTCCAGAACAGATAGCTGGATTTGGTTGCTGTCGCTAAATTCGCAATGACCTCTCAGCAGGGTTAGGTTGCGGAACTTTGATTAGCTTATATAAAAGAATACCTTATCGCGTAAGCATGAACACTCTCCCGTGCTGTAACTCAGTCGGAAACAATACGTTATTCAATGAGATATATTGTATATTGTGTAATGTCGGATTCACAGCGAATAGGCCTCGAGTTTTGCTTAAAACATGGTTTATCCTGCGCAGAAACTATTCGAATTTTCTTTTATGGCCTTTAGGGATGATTCACAGAAACCACGAGAAATATTGATATTAATGCTTCAAGATTAGCCGTAAATCTTTTGATAATCTGTAAGACATTAAATAATTACAATTGCAAAAATTGTTGAACGCATATGGACCACATTCGACGAAAATTCGTCATTAACGACGCGAGAGTAAGAAGATGATCCTCGTTGGATTTTCGACAAACACTCCCGAAAGTGTCCAAGGGTTTTGAATATCTCGAGTACCTGTTGCTTATATCTTTCAAAGATATAGATATATATATATATATATATATATATATATATATATATATATATATATATATATATATATATATTTTGCAAAACAGTGCATCAACCAGTTCTGTCAGCCTCACCTCAGTTCGAATTTGGAGCTCCGTGTCTTTTTGCCTTTTGTTCAAACTTAAAATTACCCTTCATTCAGAAAATGGATGAGATTAAGGAAAACGCGAACAGATCGTTCAGAGATTACGAAGTAGAACGTTATAAAACGGCTTTTAAACATCTTCAAAGGGACCTTCGGATAAATATGTGAAATCTTAAGAGGTATATTTTGAAAAAAAAAATGGAGCCATTCATTTCCACCACAAAAACGGTCTCGTGATATTTTTTAAAATATATATTCGCCCAAAACAATGCCCAAGGGCTACTCAATGTCGAACGTTATTTAATGAGATTTTTGAATTGATGGAAGAGGAAGAAGTAAATGCAGATTATAAGGATGTGTATGATAGATAACGACTGACTATGAACTTGAAATGGTTAAGACTGTAGTTCTCAGAAAGCTTTCGGGGCGGATCTTCTTTCTTACCAATGGACTGCGAGGGGAATGAAGATGATTCGACCCTGAGTACGTGGCCTAAGCTACCACAAATGGCGGAAATTAATAGGAGCTCGCTCTTTCGTCGTTATCATGATACATGGAGAGAAGACCGACATTGTCAAATAAATGCCATGGCAGTAAATGTATTAGACCAAGAAAAAGATGCAAATTTCAGTACTGTACTTCGGGATCAACCAACCAATTAAAGTAATATCTATATAATAAATGCGAATGTCAGTGTGTCACTATATCATACTTTTTCAATCAAAGGGACACAACTCTCGAACTTTCATGTTACAGAAATTTTGGATTCCAAACTTTTCATTACTGCGAATGTTTTCGGCGATTTTTTTACGTGATATTTTGCGACGAATTTTTTGTACGATAAGAATTTTTATAACTTGGAAATAAATTTGAGAATAATCGAAATTAAATTGCGAAATCCAGCGAAAGTCAACCATGAAATAAAAATAATTGTTTGTACGGAAAGTAAGGGCCTACGTACATCAAATAGTGGCGGCAGAAGAATTATCTTTGAACTTTTAAAAGGTAAGCTTAAATATTAATGCAATACTTAAATGCAGCGATCAATTTTGAGTTCTTCTGCAGTATGCCTTGCAAAAGGAAATCTACGCCAATAGAGGACCAGATTGTAATCAAAAGAGCCAAGGTTGCAGCGAGGAAAAGAAAGTCGCCTGCAAATGAAAACCCAAATCAAACAGGCGGCTAGGAAATCTTTCACTGCTGTGAATATGCAGAGACTTAGGGACTCTAAAACTCCTGAAGAAGCCGAAGGCCCAATCAAAAACAAGTAGTATATATGCCGCCCGACAGGACGGATTTTAAGCTAGTTATTAATGAAGCTAGCTGGAATTTTTATTAGTTAAACGTAACCGTAGGCAAACGCCACTTCTCTAGCAGATTTTTCTCACACTTTCCGGCTGTGGAATTTCTTTCCGATTTCTTGCTTCTCTGATAACTCCAATCTTCAAAAGTTTAAGAACAACGCCAATCGCCATTTTTTGTCTTCCTAAGCCCTGTCCGGTTTTTTTTTTTTTTTTTTTCTTTCCTGGTTTCTTGATAACTACCAAACATTCTGTCTTCTTAGAAATGATTAAGCTTAGACGTGCGGATGGTGTAATAGATAACGGCTGCCAATTGTTAATCAGAGATCCGAGTTCGAATTCCAGTCGGCTTCACTTACGCACAAATAAACTTGGGAAAGGTATGAATCTACCTCTTCTCTTCAACTATGGGTTAAATAGTAATATTTGTACCAATGAATCTATTTAAAGCCAGAAAATATTTTTGAATTGTAAGAATTTTTGGAGATAATAATGATGTCAAAACAAAACGGTTGGTAAAGATAGAGTAGATAGGCTTGCCTATCGTTCGGGTCACATTGCTTCTCGGTCAACAGGAGTAGAGATTTATCTCTTATTTCTTGTTTAGGACTGGATTTCCGGTTCCTTCTAAATTCTTCTCATTTTCTATCATTACTACTAGGACCTCGCGTCTTAGTGGCACCATCGCCTTGCTTGGGAAGATATTGATAAAGAAAAAGTCTTTCCTATAAATAGTTAGTCCTTTTTTCACGCTTTCCTTTACTAAATTTTCTCTAAATCAGTTTTTCTTTTTGTTTTCACATCAGCAGTATCACTTGCGTATCCTATGCTGTTAAGATCATTCCACCCGCCCCAATAATAAATCCTTGTCGGACTTCTGTGCAGCGGGTCGATCTTAAGTGAGCCCTGTCTTTTTAGATGTCGTTAAGTAGGCCCATTTCTTTATTTTATTTAGTGTCATCTAATTTTATTTGATAGATAAAAGGATCCTTGACTGACTTTTTGCTTTCAAATCAAAATCTAATTAAAATCTCGACACCGTTCCTACCTTTTTCAGGTGTGCTTTAATTAGCTTTTAAGTAGTTACAATAACTGCTGTTAACAAAGCATATTGACTTTTTTTCTTGTGGGGTGGGTTAGCTCTGTATATTTTTTTTTTTTTTTGGTAGGGTGGGGGTAGCTCTGTATATTACTTCTGGACAATTAAAGAGAAACGCTTGGATTCTACTAAATAAAGAATGGATTCGCAATAATAGCCAATTCATTGGAAATGGACAGGAACAAATTCAGCTTAAATCCAAAAACATTGTGCCAAAAGACGCGTTCTTTTGAAAGGGTAAATTGAAAAAAATACTAATATTAACTTAGATTATTTATATTCTTTCTATTTTTTGTACCTGTTCTGCTCCATGTCTGCAAGTTTCGATCTGTGTGTGTGTGTGTATATATATATATATATATATATACTAACCGAACGCTCCTCTGTGGCCGAAACGGTTAAAGGCACGTCAGGCTATAT